ATCTCAACTACATACTGATGAGGCACTGAGCTACATTAACTGTTGTGGTCACTCTTGAAATACATGGGACAGACTCACAGTCTCCTCAGACAGACCAGGGAAAACAGGGCAGGCACACGTTCACACGCCAGCTCAAGCTTCCCTTGCCTACAGAATGTATGTGCACGTTTAAATGCAAATGAATTGCTGAAACAGGCATGGAGAACACACCACAAGTCCTGCATCTCCAAGAAACAGAATAAATAACTATTCTTTGGAGTTCGAATCAAGATCTATCCTATCATAGGGGACCACAAGCAACATCAGCCTGCAGAAGAGAAAAGGGAAAGGTTTCCCCTCGACCATCAAGCAGCAATGGATGTGTTGTTCTCTCAAGTCTGGCATCAAATCAACTGCCATGTTACAGCCTTAATCTTTAACACAGGAGGCTGCTCTTTACCACTGAGAAATAGGCAAGTTTTTAAACCACAAATATGATGCTCAGGAGGGGCTGATAAGAGTTTCTTGATATTCTGACCAAGCAGCTCTAGAGCTTCTCAGTGCCTGCCAAAGGTGTGCCTGCAGCACAGCCAGGGAGTTTCTGGGGCAGAAAACCTTGACTTGTTGATGCAGTTGATACAAAGAACCAAAACACACCTGAACAGTGCAGACCTACAGAAATAAGGGCAAAGCCTCCAGGCCCTGCAAGGTACACAGCTCCTTCTTTTCCCAATTTCACCTAAACTGTCATTGTAAGTCAGGACTGTAGGACAACAAAGCCATGGGAAGAGAAAGGCAATCCTATCCTTATGGAAAAGTACACCTTACCACCCAGCTGTTGTCTGTGCTGAAGTGACTGACGTGTAAAAAGTTACAGTGACAATAAGGCTGGGGTAGGAAACACTCTGTGAGCAAACTCAGGGGATCTCCAGGGGTTCAAGGCAGACACCACCTGTGCCACACGACACTCTACAACCCATCTGGAAGCCCATGGGGAGCTCTGAAAACAGCAGCTGAGAGCGTATTGGAGTGGCACACCTCAGAACAGTGAGTCCAAGAGAGTAAAGATCAACCTTACATGCAGGTCAGGAACGCTGCATTTTAAAATACTTTGTGGTGACTCACTAGACTTGCCAGTGTTTTATTTGCTGTACTGTAAGATGTACCAAACAGGTTCCTTTTGAAACAAACTCTCCTATAAACTGAAACACAGACTGGGAGCAGCCTGCCTTAGCCATAAGCTGCTTCAATGCCCATCATTTGTGCCATTCTAACTCCTGAGTCACAGCCAGCAGCTCCAGTGTTCACAACACACCATGATGCGTGATACACCCTCCCTGTTTAGGACTTTGGGCCACCCTCTCCCTGCTCCCCACTTCTCCTGACAGCTCCTCCTGACTGCAGAGTCAGCACTGGGAGCCCTCCCACACTTCACTCCAGTTCCCCTCTCGGATGGCCCCTTCCTGCTGGGCAGAAGCCCAGGTGGGACCAGTTTGCCCACAGCTAGGACTCCAGTGCCATTCTCCCTAGGATCCCACAAGGCTTTTACGGATCTCTGTAAAACAAAAAGAGATGCAGTCACACATCCACACATTCCAGGGGACTGAGCATACAGAGAATCTACTTAAAACGCCCAACTGCAACATTAAGACTCACTCACTTCAGCAGTCTTTTAAGGTGATTAATTCATAAACAGACCAAACACAAAGCCCACAAAGCTTCTGTTCATGCAGTAACTATGACACATACACTTATATTAAAAGATGATTCCTACTGCAGCAGTTCCAGGTATTTAAATGCAAAGATTTTTAACAGAAATCTTTCATTATTTTGAAAATACATTTCTAAGTCTGTTTTCTAACAAGAGCTGTAAACCAATACTCAGAAGAGAAACATATCATGCTTTTGGTGGCTTATACTTTGAAAAAATGCAACCAATTACACTCCCCACCCCTAAAGGATATTTTCAACTCAGCTTCAGTTACTGAATGAAAGGAGGAGCTCAAATGACTCAGCTTCAAGCAAATATAAAGGAAAAGATTAATCCATATCTCAATGCAAAAAAAAAATAATCGTGGAACAAACTGATTAAGATGGAGGTGTGGCTTGTCAATTCAAATCTTTTAATATTCAAACACATCAAGCAGAACATTAGCACACTATGACTGCATTACTTTTCTGTACAAAAGAAATTTTGTCAATTTCAGACAATTTCAAAAATAACAGTCATTCAAAAATCACAGTCAATTTCAAAAATCAAAGTTTACACAAGTGGTGAAGTTAAAGTTAGCCCTGTATCTTCATTCTTATTCCTTAGTGCTGAGCAGCATAAAGATCAATAAAACATCTAAACACTAGCATTTTTAATCTACAGTCACAAGGCAAGATAGAATTGTAAAAAGGAAAAGACAGCTCCAAAATTCTGTAGGAAAACTCCCATATTTCTACAGAAAAAAAAAAAAAAACCACCCCAACCAAAACCCACTGGTGAGTAAACAGGATAACCTCATGAAGGGGGTTTTCTTGGTGGGGTGGGGGCATTGTCTCCACTGGACCGAGTTAAACATTTCTTATTAAAAGGCAGCAAAACAAGTTACAAGGCAGAATATTTCACAAGGGGCTCCCAGACACCAAGGGACTGCTGTACATGCTCCACAAGAATTCCCAAGTGCTCGTCCCCCATCTCAGCCAAGCCACACGAGCATCCCAGGGCAGAACACACCCCCAGCTGCGCTGGGAGGAATGTTTCATTCCAGACTAGCCGGAGTGCTCCTTTACACGCAGCTCAAACTCCCAGCACAGATGTCACCAGAGGGCACCCTCTCAATTCCAGTGACCCAGCTTCAGCAACTTCTGAGCAGGACTGCAGACAGCCCACGAGCAGGGATGCGCAGAGGCTGTGGAAAGCAGGAATAATTCTGCTTCTGCAAGGAATTTCCTTTAAAAAAAAGCCCACCATCGAAATTAAAAATAATTTTTAAAAAAATTACTTATGTAGCCCAGAAACGTAAAATATTTTCCAGAGTAAGCAGAGACATTGCTAGAAAAAAAATCACTATTATCAACTTCTGTACAACATCATGCTGTGGCACTTGATGGTGCCAACTCAGTCCAGCGGTTTTGGCACCCATGTGGATCATATCAGCTCCCAAAAGCAGGGTCCAAGGCAGTACAGCTCATGCAGAGGTGCCTGTGGAAATCCTCTGGCTCTGCTACACCTTACAATAACACACACAAAAAATGCATGAGTAGTTTTCATGCTTGGGTCCATGTATTATTTCTAATGCCCTTTTTTGTTTTAAAATGAACACCTGATAAGTTGAAGTTCATTAAATAAAATTATGCACAACTAGTAAAACATGCAATAGATCTCTATATCAAAAAGGGTCTCAAACCACCAGCTGGCATGAATAGAATGTTATACCCATTATTTGTTTAGAAATAAACACCACCATAGTACAACTAAAATGAAATCAACTGCAGAAGCAAGCAGTGATAAGAGAAAAATAGGAAATAATCATTGTGCATCCCATATTTTCCAATACTGAGAAAACCTAAAAAGCTGTAGGCCTATCAAACATCTGACTGCCTGGTTATCTACCGATCCCATCTGAAAATAAATAGTCTCCATCTCTTCTAGCTATCTGTGATTGCAAAGCTCTTTAATGCAGCAGAGGCACAGAAGGAGGGGTGCAGGAATAAGGCCCGTGCAAAAGCACCTTTTTTCAGTAGAGGGATCTCTCCAATAGTGTCAGTATAGGAAACCTGCAAATAGAGGTACACATCCACAGCATTTCACCAGGCCTGCAACTACTATTAAACCCCCAGGGCAAGCTACTCCAAAATATTACCTGTCATCACCACCCATCGTGGTTTGAAATATATCTACAGAACTGCCTTTCCAGCATCTGCTGCCAGGAAAGAAATAATACTAAACATGCCTCGTGTCTAATAAACAGAATATATTTGTCCATCCTCTAAAGCAGATTCCCAACTACTGGAAGGTAACATGCTACTGGAAGGTAACATGAAATTACCCTGGTTTACATGAAAGTGGAGCGAGGTGGTGCTCACCCCCTGCTTACAGACACTGTTCGTGTTGTCTCTCGTATCCTCATCCCTGGGCACTGCCCTGCCACTGTTGTCCCCAGCCCTTCGTGCTGCCCTGTTACTTGTGTTTCCCTATCCCTGGGCACTGCCCTGTCCCTCGTGTCCCCAACCCTTCGTGCTGCCCTATCACTTGTGTTTCCCCACCCCGCATTGCCCTGTCCCTCGCGTCCCCATCCCTGAGCATTGCCCTGTCCCTCGCGTCCCCATCCCTGAGCATTGCCCTGTCCCTCGCGTCCCCATCCCTGGGCACTGCCCTGCCCCTCGTGTCCGCATCCCTGCGCGCTGCCCTGCCCCTCGTGCCCCGGCGGCGGGGCCCATCCCTGGGGCAGGACCGATGGATAGCGGTATCTCCCCGCCACAGCCCCCGCTCCGCCCCGGCCGCCCTCCGGCCCCCGCGGTGCCCCACGCGCGGACGCCGCTCTGCCCCTCCCCACGCACCAACACCCCCGTCCCCGAGGGCTCCACAGACAGCAAGGGTGGGGTGTCCACGTTATAACCCACTCTTCAGCCCCGCAAGCAGGCACTGGGAGGGCGAACAGCTCTCCCCAAGCCCCGCAACCCTCCGTCCCGCAGCCAGGCTGGTGCCCCGCCGCGTACACACCGGCGAGAGGGGGCTCCGCTCCTCGCCACCCCCGTGTGAGGGGAGGGGGGGTGGGAAGAGGAGGAGAGGGCGGCAGGTGGGCGGCGGAGCCCCGGGGGGGCCGGGACCCTCCCCGGATCTGGGAGGGGACGGAGCGCCTCCAATCCCCGGCCGGCAACAGCCCTGCAAGGCCCGGCGTGCGAGCCGCGGTGAAGCCTCCTTTCTTCTCTCCTCCTCCTCCTCTGAGGAGCCGGACAATGAGCCCCGCGGAGGCGGGCGCCGGCTCCCTCCTTCTCCTCCTCCTTCTCCCCGCCGCGACAGCGCAGCTCACCTGCGAGAGGGGGGATGGATGACGGCGGGGCGGCCGCTCGGAGGTGCTGCCGGAGGGGCTGCGGTGTCTGCGCGGGTCCCTGCGCGCCGCCGGCTCCGCGGGCGCGGGGCGGCCGCGGCCACACTGCCCCACACACTCACTCACACACACACACACACACACACTCACACACACGGCGTGGGGGGGCGCCCGCCCCGCCCGCGCATGCGCGCAGAGACCCCCCCCGGCCCGCCTCCTCCCTGCGCCGCGCGCGGGTTGCGCACGCGCCGCCTCAGCGCCGCCCGTGCCGCCCCCAGCCGGCGCTGAGCGCGGGGAGGTGTGGGCTCGCTCCCTCACGGGATCGTGGGGCTGGGAAAGAGCAGCGGGGCCACGGTGTCAAACCACGCCAGGTACTCGATGCCACGTCCCGAAACACCTGCAGGCACGGTGGCTCCGCCGTCTCCCTGGGCAACCCGTTCCAGCGTCTGATTACAGAATCCTAGTATTGTTGAGGTTGGAAGGGACCTCTGGATATTATCCAGGCACGGTCACCTGGAGCAGGTGACATAGGAACGCGTCCAGGCGGGTTTGGAATGTCTCCTAGAAGGGAGGCTCCACGCCCTCCTTGGGCAGCTGTTCAGTGGTCTGCCACCCTCACGGCAAAGTTCATTTACATTGACATCGTCACCATTTCTGTGAGGGAACTCCTGCTGCTGCTGTCCAGCCCAAACCTCCCCTGGCGCAGCTCAGCACCACTCCCTCTTGTCCTGTCCCTTGTGCCCTGGGAGCAGAGCCCGACCCCACCTGGCCCCACCCTCCTGTCAGGGCCCTGTGGAGACGAGAAGATCCCTCCTGAAACTCCTGTGATCCAGGCTGAGCTCTCCGTGAGGCGTCGCTCCCTAACGAGTGACAAGACAACGGGGGCAAGGAAAGCAACTGGCCCCAAAACAAAAACTATTACATTGACAGGAGCTCTGTTCTGAAGGGTTGCAGAGCAATGACTTTTATTATTTCCTTCTCTGATCCCACAGTTGTCAGGGAATAATCAGTTTACGGGGGGAAAGCAAGGATTTCAAGGTGTTGGCACCACTTCTGGAGTGAAAGCCCTCAGAAAACCACAAAGTTTTGCAAGAGTTGCTCTACAGTCACCAGAGGTGCAGTGCTGCCGTCGTGGGGACAGGAGCTGGCATCGCCACCTTCCCATGCACAGCCCCAGCCAAGCAGCCTCCAGCCCCAGTGAGTTATTGCAATAATTAATAGCTACCATTTATACGTATTCTGAATGCTTTGAAAGCAATGCCTAATCTCATTAAATTGTGAATTGACTCGTTTTCATCCTGTCGTGGAGTTTAGACAGTCCCTGCTTCCTTCACATCCATGGGAGATGGAGTTGGTAATTTGTTCCTATACTGGAACTGCTGCCATTGGCTCTGTGGCCACCTGCTATGGGTTTTAATGAAATATAGAGCCACCTGCCATGCAGAATGATTGATTTTTATTAGACTTGCAGACTGGTGAGAATACAGGTACTATGATACAGATTAAACAAGTCCAGCAAGCTGGAAAGAGGGTACCAGCTTTTAAACCTGTGACAGAGGAATAAGGCAGGCAGGATTTGTGAAACTACAGGCACAAATTTGACAATAAGCAAAAAACATTACTTTTAGGTACAGTGCCATTTCCCCAATTTTAATAAAGGTTTGTGCCTAGAAAGAGAATACTATTTCCTCTTGGTTTGTTTTTTTTTTTATTTTTTGCCATGGTAGTCTAGCACAGTATCAGGTTCATTCTGAACCAGAATAAATGAAAGGAAAATAAAATGCCAAATGCCATTCTGCTGCAAGGTTTTCAACAGGTGAGTCAGTGGATGCAAAGAATATTTCACCACATTTGGAAACACAACAATTTGTAATGTAGAAATAAGAAAATATTACAAAATCATAGATTGGTTAAGGTTGTAAAAGAGCTCTAAAATAATCGACAAATAAGAGAAAAGAAGAAGTAGTAAAAACACCTCAGAAGGGGGAAACAATGGGATGTTTTTTGTAAGCTATTCTCCTTCACTAAAGCAGGAGACAAACTACTTTGTCTTGTAAAACAAGCTTAGGGGTGTATATATGGATTAGGTGACAAATTTTCAAAGATATTTTACAATCATCTCCTTAAATGCTTCCAGAAAACCTGCCTAATGGATTGTGAGGAAAAAAGCAATGTCACAGACGCAAAAATAACAGAGATTGAACATGAAGTCCTTCATAATCGTGGTGAAAATCCAAAAGAGTAAGATTTTTAAATGTTGTTGTAAATACCCTTAAAATAATCTAGAAGAAAAGTGGTGCAGAAGGAGACAAGAAATGCTCAGGCATCCTAGGGGGTGCTTCAGTAGAAATCTCTCCTCAGTTTATGAACACAGCCATGCACAAAACACATCAAGAGATAAAACAAGAAAACAAGAAAATGTTGTCTGTCTTGCCATTGTTTCATGTGAAAAAGTTTTACAGAATGAGCAGGGAGGAGAATATACATTAGACTGTGAAACTGAAATGCCCAATTCCACTCAAGTTTTACACCAGAGCCCCACATTTAGCTGCTTTTCACCTACAATTCCAGAATCTTTTCCAAGAAACCACCTTACAATACTCACTTGCCAACTCTATACACACAGCTGATGTTCCTTATTATTTTACAGGTACAGATCTCCCCCATTTCCCTAAATATTCAATTTAAAATACATTGTTAGTTGAATGTTTCAGCTGTGCTGTTAGATATTCAAATCACAAGAAGCAGTGAAAAGAGGAAATGACTAGATGAAAATATGTGGCAAAATAGTCAGTTATAACGAAGAAAGCTGCTGTCAAAAATAACAGGAAACCACTGTCCCTTGTGACTGGCAGCTTGTGAGGGAATGGGTGCAGAGGCCAAACCTGAACCAACACAGCCATGGGAATTGCTGGGACTGAGCACAGCTGAAAATCTTTACAGCCCACAGGACACCACAGTTGCCATCACCAGCTTTCACCCGAGAGAGCAAATTTAGGGATGGTATTTGTCTGGCCAGCTTGCAGTATTCTTCTGAATAATTTATTTACTATGGATCTCAGAGGTTCTTTTTTTGGCCATACGTATCCTAGATTTTATCAGGAATTATTATTTTTATAATTCACTGTCCAACATGCTGCATCTCCCTACAAGACTCTAACCAGCTTCACTGTATCCAACCCTCCCAAATTAGAGAGCATATAACATTTCCTTTTGAAAGCAACTTCTTGCATCTTCAACATCATCTACCAATTGAGAGGAATAAATTTATCTGTCTATTTTTAATTTCACACGTGAAAACCATTTTTCCATTAGGCAGCACTAAAGGTGTGTGCTTCCACACACCAGCTGCAATGTGGCTGTAACGAAATGTTGACATTGCAATCCAGGGCACTTGTTGATGTAAATTTTAAGTCTATAAAAATGCCAGCAGAGTACAGTTTATTATACTTTTTCATAAACAGAAGGTAGCATAAGCAATTTAGAATAGAACATTCCTAATGTAAGTTACTTTAATATAATCAGCTTTACTTGTGTAGATTACAATGCAGATTATTCTACACCATTTAAGAAAAAAAGGAGAAATAGTACTTTGAGTGGACATACCATGCTCTGGGATTAAAACTATACATTCATATAAAATCAAATTAATTTTGCTGCCTTTCATCCAAGCTTCCTCAGTATTGCAGCAAAGTACTCAGGAAGTACCTTTTTAATCTTGTAACAAATGATTTGAAATAGTATATCTTACATTTTGGTACCTAGTTCATTAATTACTAATTGCTTGGCATTAAGTAAAGTCCTTTTATCATTGCCTGAATCTAGAAACAGTTACTATCATAAAAAGTCATCAGTTAAAATCAATTTGATGTAAGATGTCCCAGCTGGATGTCTGCTAAAGTATTTAGTTCCCTAAGGAAGAGAATATAGTAGAAAATACTTTATTTACATAACCAGTAAATGTTATTTTCTATTCTTACTCTTTGACTCAGTTATTCCGTGAGTCTGACTGCACTTAATTCACACAAGTACATCAGGGTGAGAAACACTAAAGAAATGCAAAATATTGCTAAATTTACTTGTCAACTTATGAAAAGAAAATAGTATAATTTGTTGTTGAAACTGCCTAATCATTTCTCACAATTGCAGCACAGTTCTGGTATCTGCCACTGTAATCTGTTATCTCCTGATTTTAGAGTGCTTACCTATGCAGGTCCTTTATAAATGCAGTGCCATTAATATTAATTGTGCAATTAATATCCAGATTCTAGTAAGGTGCACAATCTGTGACATTTACACCTACATACTCCTACTTTTTGATCTGTGATCCTCTGTGATGTGCTTGCCTTCATTACAGGGAAAAGAGGAGTCAGACTTGGATAAATATAACATTGCTGTAACTATCACCTTCTTCCACTTTCCTTTTGGAGGATGTTTTTGCTTAATACATAATGCACATATATTAGCTTCTACTCCTTGATGAGGAGGATGAGCTTCCTGCTTCAACCATAACCAAATGAAATTTTCAGTCCATTCAGTTAAATTTGAAACCAAGCATAAAAAAAATAAAAATTAATTGATAAAAATATCTGTACCAGAGAAATCTGGTTCAACTAGACACTGGACACCCTATGTGTTTAGAGTTTAGAGCTGGAGGAGAACAATATTGCTAAGAATGCTATGCTGGAGAGTAGATGGGTGTTTCACAGCTCCTCTCACTCACTGCGTTCAACTGATGTGCTAATATTTGCTCCCAAAGGTGTTGTGATTAACGCTAGAACACCTCCTCGGGCTTCCACCTCTGCTTGTTTCTCATTTCCGGCAACGATGAAATCAGGAGCTGGAATGAGAGCAGCACGAGAGCACTCTGAACCAGCTTGGGCTTTTTCTTCATATTTTAAAAATCACAACTTTAAAACGAGTGTAGCCAAGCAGCAGCTTCTGAACTCGCCCAAGCATACATGTAAATATATACATATTTACATGTAAAGTGAGTATATACATGCACAGCCGCACAGGACTTCCTCTTCATCTGCAAAACATTGTTTTCCCAAGGTCAGCAAAGGCTCTTCCACACGTCTCAGCAGCGAGGAAGCTGCCCACGGATAACACGTATTTCCTCAGTGTCTCTCCCACAACCTATGGATTTTTCCACAGAAAGAGAAG